TCAACTTCCTACTGCATCAAGCTCCGCTTTGTGGTGTTTACACGATAAGCGTGCTGTTTTATCGGCCTGTCAGTTTCCACCGTGATGTCGTGACACACAGACCTACGGTAGTCAGAAACAAAGGTTGATGAGCTTTCACTAACGCAAGGACATCCCTATGAGGCAGGGTGGCAAATGAGAGCGGGAGGACTCCAAAGTGGCCAACATCTCGCAAAATATACAGCCACTTTTTTCCATCAAACCATCGTCTTGTGGGTGTACTCTGTAGAGCAAATTACATCACCGGTGGCGAGCTCTTTGGACACATAACATTTGAGCATATTGACACAAACTTTCGCTTCCGATCAGGCGTTTTAATGACATAATTAGTATCACTTACTTTTCCGACCTCATAAGGACCAGAAAATTGAGCTCGAATGCTAGACACAGTCACTGGAAGCAAAACCAGCACCTTCTCCCCCGGGGCAAAATTCTGAACCACGGATTTCTTGTCAAAACGTGCTTTCATAATGCCCTGGGCTCGCCTCAAGTGGTCGGGGCCAACTGCACGAGAGAGACATTCCTTAAAAGCACACACATAATCCAACACATTATCCTCCACCCGATGCGATTCGGACAATAATTTCTCTTTAAGTAATTGCAACGGCCTGCGTACCGTGTGTCCAAAAACAAGATCAGCTGGGCTGACACGGAGGAATTCCTGCTTGGCTTCTCGAAAAACAACAATAAGAGAAGCTAACTCAGAGGAGCGATTGCTTACGTAGCCCCCAAAAACATAACTAAACAACAATCACTTACCTCCTGACTAAAAACATGATGAAAGCGATCCACTCGAACTTCCTCATGACTTGCAGAGCAACACAGGGCATGTCGCAGCCCAGCTGTTGGGGTAAACCGAGGATGGATGATTGCCGTCCTCAACCGCGCCGTCTTATACTCCTGGTGTACCATCTCGGGATCCACCACTCCTGGAGGCGCACCTGCACACTCACATTTACATGTCATAATCCCAGCCCACGACGGCAGCCGTAACAGCAGTGTGTGACATTCCATCATTGTCCAACTGTTCTGACACACACACCAAACAAACAAACAAAAAATGTCTAAATTGCACACTACTACTAACTGTAAATTCTCTGTTATGACTGGGTCTATAAAATATTACAATATTACATATCAGAATTTGATGAAATTGTCTATTTCTTCTTAAACAAATAAAACAAATCTCACAAAGTTTTCTTCAGGTGTTTGAGGGTGCATGGAATTTATCCAACAAGTCTACATATATTGGCATTTGACTATCATTCATTTGTTTGTGACAAATAAAATTTGAATTTGAATGGGTATTTATCCATAAAATAATTGAAAATAAGCCTTTAGTGAAGTTTTAACAAATGTATTGGTTTTTTTTGTGTGTTTATATAGTCTATCAGGCTGTCTGATCACAGAGGAAGGCTGTACTTCTCTGGCTTCAGCTTTGAGCTCCAACCCTCCCATCTGAGAGAGCTGGACCTGAGCTACAATCATCCAGGACTCAGTCCAGAGTTTGTTGGCTGGACTGAAGGATCCACATTGGAGACTAGACACTCTCAGGTATGAGAGAATGTCTGATAGAGGAGGAAAAGTTGAAAACATCTGCTGTGTCCTACATTCAGTTCCTGATTGTTTCATGCAGATGTCACAAATGAAGGGAAGTGCTTGCTCATTACAGACAATCTAAGGAGCTTGAAAAGAGCAACTGGGCTTTTTCTTGCAGACATTTCATATGAGAAGCTTCTTCAGTTCTAAAATAATTTTGGAGAGAATTTAATTTAATTTAAAATTTGGTTATCCCTAAAAGGGTCGTGACCAATTAATTATGTGCCTCACACATGAGCCAAGGTGAAATAGATAGAATGTTCAGAGTCAAAGGTAGCAGCCATCTCTGTCCACATCTTGGGTAGCACTGCTCTGTGTCAGGGTCCCATGTATGGGTGGGCTATGTTGTAACAATCTCTTTCTCCATTCTTACTTCACCACCTCCACTGGTCTAGAGGGCATCCTAGAACAGAGCTGGCCCTCTGGATCAGGCTGTTCAGTCCTCTTCCTGTCACCAGTAAGATGCTGCCGCCCTAGCAGACCACACCGTAAAAGATGGCTGAGGCCACCACAGAGTCATAGGTCTTCAGGAGTGCCCTTCACTCCGAAGACCTCAGTCTCCACAGCAGGTACAGCCTGATCTCCCCTTATTTTTAAGTGAGTCCAGTCAAGTTTATTGTTCAGATGTACATACACAAAATGTCCATACCTTGGATGTTTAGTGGTTGAAGTAGAGGATGTTTTTGGTTGTGGAAGTCTACCATCAGCTCCTTGGTTTTTCTTGTGTTGATCTGGAGTAGTTCTGCTGGCACCAGTCCTCAAAGTCACCGGTGAGGTGTTCCGGAACATGCCCAGAACACCTTACCCAGGAAGCGCCCAGGATGCATCCTTGTCAGATGCCTAAACCACTTCAGCTGGCTCCTTTCAATGTGGAGGAGAAGCAGCTCTACTCTGAGCCCCTCCCAGATGGCTGAACTTCCCTACCCTCTCCTATCTCTAAGGAGAGACCAACCACTGTTCGGAGGAAGCTCATTTCCACTGTGATCTTGTTCTTTTGGTCACTACCCACAGCATGTGACCATAGGTGAGGGTAGGGACGTATCAGACAGGTAAATTGAGAGCTTCACTTTTGCGCTCATTCTCTCTTCACCAACGACGGACTGGTACAGCGGCTGCAGCATCAATCCGTCTGTCGATCTCCAGCTCCTTCTCCCATTACTCACAAACCCCGAGATACTTAAACTCCTCCATTTGGGGTAAACTCGTCCCGACCCAGAGTGGGCACTCCATCCTTTTCTGGCTGAGAACCGTGGCCTCGGATTTCGAGGTGCTGATCCTCATTCCCACTGCTTCACACACGGCGTGAACCGTTCCAGAGTGAGCTGGAGGCCATCAACCGATGAAGCCAACAGAACCACATCATCCACAAAAACAGAGATGAGATTCTTAGACCACCTACGTGAAAGACCTCCGCCACTTGGCTGCGCCTAGAAATCCTGTTCATAAAATTAAGAACAGAATTGGTGACAAAGGGCAGCTCTGGCGGAGCTTATCCCCACAGGGAACAAGTCCGAATTATTGCCGGCAATGTGAACCGAGCTCTTAATGGTTGTATAGGGATCAAATAGCCCGTAGCAATGGGCCAGACACCCCATACTCCCATAGCACCTCCCACAGGACACCCCGAGGGACATGGTCGAATGCCTTCTCCAAGTCCACAAAACACATGTAGACTGGTTGGGCAAACTCCCATGCCCCTCAAGTATCCTTGAGAGGATAAAGAGCTGGTCCAGTGTTCCGCAACCAGGACGAAAACCGCATTGTTCCTCCTGTATCCGAGGTTCGACTAGCGGACGAACTCTCCTTTCCAGCACCCTTGTATAGACTTTCCCAGGGAGGCTGAGGAGTGTGATTCCCAATGTAGTTGGAACACACCCTCCAGTCCCCCTTTTTAAAAATGGGGACCACCACCTGGTCTGCCAGTTCAGGGGTACTGCCCCTGATCTCCACGCAACATTGTAGAGGCGTGTCAACCAGGACAGCCCTACAACATCCCGAGCCTTCATGAACTCTGGGAGGACATCATCCACACCAAGGGCTCTGCCACCAAGGATTAAGGAGGTCGTCCAAGTATTCCTTCCACCGTCCGACTATTTCTCAGTCGAAGTCAGCAGCGCTCCACCAACACTATCCACAATACTGGTAGACGCCTGACAGTTTACCAGAATCTCTTTGAGGCAGTCCAAAAGTCTTTTTCCATGGCCTCTCCGAACTCCTCCCACACCCAAATTTTTGCTTCAGCCACTGCCTCAGCCACAATCCACTTTGACTGTCGGTACCTGTCAGCTGCCTCCAAAGTCCCACAGGCTAACCAAGCCTGACAGGATTCCTTCTTCAGCCTTGTGGCTCCCTTCACCTCTTGTGTCCACCATTTGGTTTGGGGAATACCACCACACAGGCACCAACCACCTTGCGGCTGCAACTCAATGCTGCAGCTTTGGCAATGGAGATGCTGAACATGGTCCATTAGGACTCAATGTCCCCAGTCTCCTCTGGATGCTGTTGAAGCTCTGCCGGAGGTGTGTGTTGAAGATTTCACGGACTGGGGCCTCTGGGAGGCGTTCCCAGCACACCCTCACTACATGTTTAGGCGCACTGGGTCTGTCCAGCGTCCTCCCCAGCTCAGCCCCTCTCTTTACCTGAGTGTCCAGAACATATGGTCGCAGGTCTGGTGATACGATTACAAAATCAATCATCGACCTGTGGCCTAGAGGGTCCTGGTGCCACATGCACTTATGGACACTTTTATGTTCGAACAAGGAGTTTGCTATGGCCAAATTGTGATTTGCACAGAAGTCCAATAAGAAAACACCACTTGGGTTCAGATCAGGGAGGCCGTTCCTCCCAATCACGCCCCTCCAGGTCTCGCTGTCATTACTCACGTGAGCATTGAAGTCTCCCAGTAGGAAAACAGAGTCTTCAGGTGGAGCACCCCACCCAGGGACTCCAAGAAGGCTGGGTACTCTGAACTGCAACTCGGCGCATAAGTGCAAATGACAATCAGGACCTGTTCCCTGAACCTAAGGCCAGAGAACAAACCCTCTCATCCACCGGGAAGAACCCCAATGTACAGGCAGCAAGCCGAGGGGATAGTAGCATACACACCCCAGCCCGCCAGACTGAGACAGAGTCCACCCCCTCTCCAGGAGACTGGTTCCAGAGCCCAAGCCATGCGTAGAGGTGAACCCGACTATATCTAGCCGGTACCTCTCAACCTCATGCACTAACTCAGGCTCATTCCCCACGAGAGAGGTGACATTCCATGTCCCAATGCCAATTTTGGTAGCCGGGGATCGGTCCGCCAGGGCATCTGCTCCTGGCTGTCTCCCGGCACACAATGCACCCGACCCCTACGGCACCTCATGCGGGTGGTGGGCCTGCAGGAGGATGGGCCCATGTCCCCTCTTCTGGCTGTGGGCCTCAGTAACCCTATCCGGGGCAGGATAAACTGTTGTCTCAATGTTTTCCTCATAAGTGTATTCGTGAAAATGTTGCACTGTTCCTTTATCAGTGTCTAACAGTATGTATATGAGAGCCATGTAATGTCCAGTTGTGTATGCTGAAAGAGACTGTGCTGGTCTGACACCCCCCCCCCCCCCCCCCCCCCCCCCCCCCCCCTCCTTTCAGGGTGGAGCCTGCTGGAGTCCAGTGGTTGAGACCAGGTCTGAGGAAATGTAAGTGGGTTTTTAATGTGATTCATGAAAACAAAGCAGCACACATTCAACCATCTTCAAACTGTCACATCACTCATTTACATCTCTGATGTCAGGAGTCAATCAATGAACAGATGATCAATAACTGCAGCTGGATTGTGTTTGTTCTCTCCATCAGATTCCTGTCAACTCACAGTCGACGCAAACACAGTACACACAAAACTCCAACTGTCTGACAACAACAGGAAGGTGGCACATGTGGAGGAGGTTCAGTCATTTCCTGATCATCCAGACAGATTTGATTACTGGCCTCAGCTGCTGTGTAAAAATGGTCTGACTGGTCGCTGTTACTGGGAGGTCGAGTGGAAAGGAGGGGTTTATATGTCAGTGAGTTACAGAAGAATCAGAAGGAAAGGAGACAGTAAAGATTGTTGGTTTGGTTACAATGATCAGTCCTGGAGCCTGATCTGCTACGATGATGGTCCTCATTCTGTCTGGCACAATAGCAGAGGAACATCCATCTCCTCCTCCATCTCTGTCTCTAACAGAGTAGCGGTGTATGTGGACGTTCCTGCCGGCACTCTGTCCTTCTACAGAGTCTCCTCTGACAATCTGATTCATATTCACACCTTTAGCACCACATTCACTGAAACTCTTTATCCTGGGTTTAGATTCAGGTATCTTGGTTCCTCAGTGTCCCTGTGCTGAGCTGAGTTTAAAGTAGGGCTGCTCAATTAATCGAATTTTAATCTCGATTACGATCTGGGCTTTCAACGATCATTAAAAATGACCGAGCCGATTATTAGCCCCTCCCTCGTGCTTTACTCTCGCGCTGCTCCGTGTGGCAAATCGAGCGCACCTCCCTGCATTTCGAACACGCGTCACAACAATTAAGAGCAGCGGTCTCCAACCTTTTTTGCGTCACGGACCGGTTTATGCCCGAGGATATTGTCATAGACCGGCCTTTAAGGTGTCGCGGATAAATACAACAAAATAAAACTAGTACTGGTACCGAAAAAAAGAAAATTTATTCCTAACACACGTGAAAAGACCAAGGAAAACCGAGTAAATGATAAAATGATAACAAAATAACGCTGAACACTGATAAAAACCCTGAAAACTATACATTTCACACCTGAGCCTCAACTCTCGCGGCCCGGTACCAACGATTCACGTACCGGTCCGAGGCCCGGGGTTGGGGACCGCTAATTAAGCGGACCCGAGGGAAGCTCGGAAAGCTAAGCCGAAGTTATTTGGAGAGGAGAGTGACTGCCATTGGTTGAAAAGAGAGGTAAAAAAAACTTCAGTGGTGTGGAAACATTATGGGTTTGAGGGGTCAGACGTGGATCAAGTAGACATAGTGTGTAAACTTTGCTACAGTGTTGTAGCTGCACCACAGAGCAACACTGCACAGTTCACTAAACACAGATGTTTATACTTTTCATTTATTTTTATTTTGCAAACATTTGCACTGTTATCAGTATTTGCACTATTTTATATTATTTTTTGACAATCTTTAAAGTCATTATTCAACACATTGTTATTGTTAAATAAATATCGTCAAATAATCGAGATCTCAATGTCAGTGAAAATAATCGTGATTATCATTTTTGCCATAATCGAGCAGCCCTAGTTTAAAGAGTGTCTCCTGTTAGAGAAAGATTCTGACTGTTGAAGAGAGAGTTCAGTCTGTACATGTCTCTCTTTCACTCAGAAACACGTTTTCAGATTCATGGATTCAATCAGTTGATGTTTTAAACTGTTCTAAATGATTCCTTGTAAACTTCTTCTCTTCAGTCCTTTAAAGATGGAAGCTCCCATTATTACAGGATCCACATGTTGTTTTTCTGTCTTTTTACACTCAAAGTTTCAGAGTGAATATCAATATGTTGTTTTTTCTCTGAAGCTCAGTTCACAACCAGCTCCTCTGCATTTTCAACAAGTCTGAGCTCATTAAAATGAATCCAAATGTTTGATTTCTCTTTCTTAATGGGATGTTTCCAAACTCTCCACATCTTTTACTCATTGTTGGAAGCTCATCATTTCAAAATGTTTCAGCCATATAAGCTGAAAATATTGGCTCAATTGTTTTGAATGCAGTTCAAGCAGAATATGATTGTATTGTACTGAGGGATCATAATGCATGCGGCTTATCTAATAAACAGCAGACTCTGATTATTTGAAACTAGTCTTGTGTTTTTCCCATTTTGAACAAGACCAAGAACATGGTGCAGGATGTTGGTAACAGCTTCGTTATCAAACTCTTAGAAACATGAAAATATGTGTGTTTAGCACTGCGTATGTTGTGTATCACTTTAGTTTGTATGAAACATGAAAAATATCACAAAGGGTCCTGGTGAAGAATGTGCTGGAATTTGGTGACAGAGATGCTCTGTATCTCATTGTACAACTGTATAGTGACAATAAAGGCATTCTATTCTATTCATTCTATTCTTTGACGTCAAACTTTTAGAAGCCGTTTCATTGTTTATCATGCAGCTCTAGTTTGATAAAACGCTGCATCAAAAACACAGGAAATAATGTCACATGTTTATTTCCACAAAGCAGAATGAGTCTATTGCTGACAATAAGTGATGTACAAACAGAGTGAGCATTTCTGAGCCCCCCAAAATAAACTGAGAAGTTCACTAAATGAAAAATGGACTGTGAGCTCAGTTCCTTCATCATTAGTATGTATTATATATGTCTATGTATTTTATTACTATAATATATATCAGGTACCACTGCTGCTAGTTTCAATTATTGTGCAAATGTGCTGTTTATAAGGTTGGAAACCTGCAGTCAGCTAAGACTGAAGAAGTCACCTGGATCAGTGACCAAATGTTTCTCCCACTGAAAACGTCCAGATGAGCAGAATCAACCTTTTGGGATCAGCCAGCAATGCAGCTGTCAGGGTTGCTGGGTCATTGACCCAGTGATTTCAGTTTGTTCATGTTCAGTTTATTTTGCCACATCAATGTTGTTCTCACTTCCTGTTTTTCCCGTATCAGCTCGTCTCTCATGTCGTTAGCCAGATTATGTTCAGCTGTGTACTCACCGGTCTCTCATTATCATCCGCATCAGTCTGTGTATTTAAGTCCTCAGTTTCCTCCAGTTCTTTGTTGTGTCATTGATGTTGATGTTGTCTCTCCGCATGTATGTTCAGTTCAGTCACCCAGTCAGTCATTTCAGTTCATGTTCTGTTCATCCAGCCTACCTACAATAAAACACCATTAACACCATTATCCTGCACCGTGAGTCCAGCGTTTGGGTCATGTCTTCCTCACCTCCACACACGACATGCCTGACAGAATGACACGACCCGTGAGCGGCAGGAGGCAGAGCTCTCCTTGTGGGCAGAAAAGCTTAAGGAGAGACAGACGCCCGTCATTAGATTTACTGCAGAAACTGGATCAAACTGGATCCAACTGGAGCTCTTGTTGGGATCCAGGGTGCAGCACGTCTGTGCTGAGCAGAATGAATAAAGCCAATAAGATGTCTCTGTATGAGGAGGCGGGGTCACAGGAGGTTCACAGAAACTCTGCAGCAGCATCATCAGCTCACATGGAAACTTTGATGATTCACTTCTGTGGTGTTTTTACAGAAACACGTCACAAAATTAGCTCCGCCTGTTTTGTGTGTGAGCTTTGAGTTTCTTGTCTTCATCCTGGATTCTTGTGTTGCTGTTTTTACACACAGCAGATATTTCCTGGTTGCTTCCTTAATGATCACATGAAGCTTTCTGAAGCTTGGATTGAAAACGCTTCATTACTCAAAGCTTTCCAACACAGGCCTCTGTGCTGCCATCTAGTGGAAAAACATATGAAGTGCAGCGTGAAGCTACATTTATTTATAACATACTATAACCCATATAACTATATGTATAGTGTATTATGTAGGTTTTAGAACTGAGAGGTAAATTGCTGATGGCCTGGTTTTTATTTATGTTCCCCATGGTTCACCAGCTCTCACACAACACCAATGATCCACGTCCTTATAAACCTCCGAATCAGGTCCTGAAGCAGTGACGTCCTGAGTGAAGACCTCACTGATCACATGACTCTGGTCACCTGGACTCAGTGTTTCTGAAGCAGTGTGCTGGGTTTTTACAAATACGTGGCTGCTGCCTGATGTTGGGCCCACAGAGGAAGACGACTCACTCGCTCGTCTTCACTTCCTCCTTAAACATGTGGAAGGAGAGCAAAGTGCTGCCAGACTCTTATTTCTGACAGGAACAGAAGAAACCACAGCAAACTGTTCCAGTTCTTCATCTTCATCACAATCTATTTATTTCCGATGGTGTCTTCAGTCTGAGGGTTTGAAGTTTCCATGTCTGCGTGATGTGTGGTGTGAAGGCTGCTGGTTAAACTGAGACGAACTGTTTAAAGCACTGAGTGCTCATAGAGAGATGCTCCATGAGTCCCATACGAATTACCCACGTCTCCCACTGGGGAATTGTAGAAAAGGGGAGAGGCAAAAGGGGTACACTGTATTTATAGGGTTGCACCAAAGAAGAACAATGAGGAGGGGCTCTAACTGATAATAAATATAACTACAGGCTTGAAGGTATACAGTCAGGTATAAAGAACACATTTTGTGAGAAGTGTTGTTTGTTTATTTACAAAGTTTGCTGTTTCAGTGATAGTTGTACATCACGTTATATCACTTCAAACAGAGGTGATCCAGTAATGCTGCACCAATGAATTAGACTAACTATTCACTTTAGCTGAAGTTATTAAGTCAGCTAAAGAGTTGGATGCTGTGTAAGACATAAATAAAGCTAAAACACAAAGGTTTGGACATTTGCATGTTGCCCTACTGTAGGGGTCTCTGCAAGCATACAGGGCTCTGACAGGGTACAAGATGACAACTTTGTCAAAGCTGAACCAGGGCAAACTACCAGGGTTAAGGGTTAACTGATGAAAAACTTAACTGGAGAGCTCACATAAGATATATTCATTCCAAAGTATCACGAAGCATTGCAGTACTAAACAAGGCAAAACAGGTATTCGACAGAACATCACTTCATATTCTCTACTGTTCACTGGTTTCACCATACTTAAGCTATTGTGCAGAGGTCTGGGGCAATAACTATAAAACCACATTACATTCACTTTTTACTCTTCAAAAGAAAGCAATTCGAATCATCCACAATGCAGGTTATAGGGAACATACAAACTCACTATTTTTGCAGTCTGAAATATCGAAAATTGCTGATCTAGTGAAATTCCAAACAGCACAAATTCTATTCAAAGCAAAAAATAAAGAACTGCCAGGTAATATTCAGAGTATGTTTTTTTTTGAAAGAAGGAAGTTATAATTTAAGGGGTTTTTGTAACTTCAAAACAATGAAGGTACGTACTACAAGAAAAGGCTTTTGTGTTTCTGTTCATGGAGTGAAACTATGGAACAAACTGAATATGGAATTAAAGCAATGTCCAAACATAAAAATGTTCAAAAAGAGTTATAAAAATATGATCTTCTCGATCTATAAAGAAAAGGAAAATATTTAAATTAAGTGAATGTCTCTATTTAAAAACAAACAAACAAAAAATTCATGATGTGATATTATAGTATATAGTATATCAGAAATCTGTTCACTATTTTTATTACAAATTATATCAGTAAGGAAGCTGACTAAATATTAACTGATAATTTATGGGACAGGGGTGGGATTAAATAAGTGTATACTTCTTCCCACTCCCTTTCAACATGTAAATTAAT